CATGGCTGGAGCCTTGTCTCTAGAGGTCAGCTTTTCTACCTGTACTTTGTCCTTCTGAGTGAGGAGGTAACAGTCAATTAACGCTTACGTAGAATTAGTCCAGTTCCTTTGGGCTGGACCTGTGTATATAATCAGGTCTAAAAAAGCATTTTACTGTAATCCAGCAACCTAGATAGCAGTGAGGCAAAGCATGAAGTTATTTGCTCAGTCCTTTGCGTTTTGCATCCGTTATTGGAGCAATGTTTTCAATACTGTTTTGAAGCCCCTATCAACAGAAGTCTGTTATTATGTAATACCTGCACATTGTCTGCTGCTTCATAACTAGGCAAGTAAGTAAATTAGTTTGTATTTTATGTACTCCAAAAGCTTTGCATTTCAAAGACAGTAGTTCACCAGTTTCTCAGTAAGCCTGGATGCTTATTTCCAGGGAGCAAAAGCAGGAATTATGCCTAGACAATGCAGTACTGAACCATAAACTTGTCCATATCAGATTATGTTTAAATTTTTAGTTTAATTAGTTTGCCAAAGAGCACTGCATTAAACAACAAAAAAAGTATATTCACAAAGGGTGAAAAAGACCGGGGGGAAAAAAAAACACTCTTGCAAATTCTGACTGCATTTTCACAGTGTCAAATTAGTGACAGTTGCACAGGAAAACAGATTGAGCTTCATGTTATAGCCATGGGAGATGCACAGGAACACGTGATACAGAATGTTATTCTAGTATGTGGGAACTTTGGTAAATACTCTCCTCTTTATATTCTAACTGTCCAGTGCAAATAAAGAAACAAAAAATAGAATAAAATTATCTTATCATCAGGCATCAGTTATAGAAACACCTTAGCTTTGTTTTCAGCATTAGCATTTGTAATGAGCATTCGTCCAGAACAACTGACAACCAAATACAGCAGCAAACCCAGTATTCCCTTGCATATATTTAAGACAAGGAAAAGTTGTTTTAATCGTGCATGCAGCAAATCCTGGACTAGTATTAAAATGGGCTATTTTGATATAGTGCAACACTTTGTGTTAAATTCAAAAAGAAGAAATAACCCATATATGTCAAGCTGACTAAAAGCTAGCATTTTGCCTTGAAAGTTTCACCTTAGTCTTGAACTGACTTCCCTTTAAAGTCAGCTCAATCTCTGGATTCTGCATGAATGCTTTAAATACCTTAGTGCAAGGTGGTAGAAACTGAGCTTTTTCTGATCATTAGGAAAAGTGATTGTGGACAATTCTAACATAAGTGCTTCTTTCTGCCATCATAAAATATGAATCAGAAATAATACCAGCAATCATCTTCCAGAAAAAAGCATGTAGCTAGAAAGGCTCCTAAATCCCGATGCGGTGGTTTTATAATCCCAAGTTTAATAAATTGCTGACCTCTAACACAGTGAGTAGGAAAAAAAGATCTTGAATGCTGTTGCTCTGTTAAGATTTGTGAAAGTTAAATAGAGATGAACAAAATCTCAAATTTGGTAGAAATATTTGCTTTTGGTTTCGTTTTTATCTAACTCACAAATGCCTTTTTTTTTTTTTTTTTTAAATTGTATTTAATATGTGGTAATTCTAGGTAGAGAACTGCTGCTTGTTTACAAAGCACTGTTCCATTCTAAGGTGTTCAAGTGATGTAAAATAATGGAAGAGTAATCCTTAAATAAAGCACATTTTCAGGAAAAAATTATGACAACTAACAACCACTAAGGACAAAGCAGCCTTCACTAATAAATGTTGAGGTTGTCTGGATTTACCTGGGCACAGAAAAGAAAATCTGTTTTTCCAGGATGCCCGGTATGGCTTTTCTGAGTTCCAGAAAACTCAAACTGTACTTGCTTAGACTGTAAGGTGCTGAAAATAAATGTTACTTTGGCCTTCCATTGTGCTATTGCTTTTGGCAAATAGCTGTTCTTATAAACCTTTGTTCTCTGGTGATAAACAGTCCAAAGACAAAAACACACTCATTTTCAGTGTCAGAGATCAAGGAAAGTTTGTCATTTTGACATAGCATCCCTTTGCAGGGGGTGAAGAGACACCTCCAGAGTGGGTTGGCAGCACCAGCAAGATGTTTTTTCAGGAGGGCAGTAGAGAAAATGAATATTTAAATTAGAACATTATTAAAATGTTGGGCCTTCAGCATTTTGTCAATATTTTGAAAGATGCAATATGGAAATGGTACATACTGCCTAAGAGATTTTCCTGCCCTCTTCATATCTACAGACCAATGTGAAAAGTACATTAGTATCAAATTTTCATGTTTCATTTTGAGATAGCTAGTAGGTAGAAAGTGGTAACTTAGCAAAGAGAACTTAAAATATATATACCAAAGTGTCTGATGCTATAAGTTTGTAGTACTTCATTTTCTCTGTGTAAGTAAAGATCTGGAATAGAAGTTCAGTGAAAGCTGTACTTGAGCTTTGCTAATTTACTTCTAAAAATACCCCACGAAGTCACTTTTCCAGCACTAGAATAGGTAATGCTGAACTGAGAAAGTTTCTGTAAGTAATACCTGCATTCTTACAGTGTCTCAGAACTCCGCTGTAGAATTTCAAATTGCTAAGATATTGGGCTTAGGAAACATTTCTAAATAATTCTTCTTTCTAAAGCCTTTTCCAGCACTGTGATGCATGTGCACTCAGCACGCTTTAATCACGTTTGATGTGCAGCCCAATTCAACAAGTTCATGTTTTTGATGAATTTATCAGTCACCGTAGTGGGGGGGGGGGGGAAAAAAAACAAAACAACAAAAAAAAAAAACACCAAAGCTACAAAGCAAATGTATGCAACATTAATTAAAGAATGCCAAAAAATTGACTGACTTAACCCATAAATTTGACTAAAGACTGAAGCATCTGCCATCTTTACCGCTTTTTTTTTTCCCCCCCAAGGTTTCCATACATAGCAGAAATGCCTGAGCTGCATCTGAAGCAGTCCTGAGACTGGCTCCTTTTCATCACCTAGGGGTGTTAAGATTGCTCCAACATACCAGTAGGAATTCTAAGTGGTAAACTGCAGTGAAGCAAGATCTTCATATATAATGTGTGCTAGAGGGACGCATTCTGGGATCGATGTGGTACATGAGTCAAGCTCCTAAGGTACCATTACACTTACCTTCTTTGGTGTTGTGATTATGTCCATCTTAGTGGAAAGACACGTGCAACAGTTTATAGAACAAAGGCTTAAATCTTAATTAAAAATAGAATAACTTAGAGTTTAAAGACTCACTGCAGTATGCCATATATTGTAGTATAGAAATTCTTCAGCAAAACCTCAGTATGAAGATTACAAAATTCCAGATGCAGTCAATGTAGTAGGAATCTATTAACTTTCTGGCTCTCTTCATTAACTGAGATTCTAAATATACATATATGACAGAAACTAAGGGTTGTAACCTGACCATTAGCATTTGGCATCTTCCTGCTTGAAAGCACAGTCACTGGAAGGATCAGAAGAGATTGGCAAAGAACTAACACACAGAGCAAAGAGAGAGAGTAAGAGAGCATATCTTCCTCAAACCACAGGAGCAAAAAGCAGTTAGAGTACCTTTAATTGGGAGAGAAGCATAAGTTCCTCATAAGAAACTGTGCTTCTATGCAATTAAGAGATATAATGCTGCAGTATGTGTGTATTTTCCCCTTCAGTGGTGCAGAGCTGCACATGCCCAGGAAGTACTTTGCTGTTGAGTAGTGCAGACAGATTAGATGTCAGATTTCGCTATAGGTGGAATCTTTATTAGAGGTCACAGCTTTAATTCTCTCCTGTTGTCCTGTAACCATGCGCGTAAGAAATCACCATCAGCCTTTACCACAAAACAAACACCAGAAGTGCACCCAGCACATGAACCTTCTCTTTCTCTCCCTGTTCTTACAATGTTCACACGAAAAGAAGAGCAATAAAATCTCACAATAACAGCACTATCTGCTCTGAACAAAACTAATTCTTTATCTAAATATAAGCAAATTTTCTGCTTTCTCCATTTATAGAAAGATAAGGAAAAATATAAGACTATACTTTAAATGTTTCAGAACCCAAATACCAATGCAGGAAAAAGTATACATGCAGCAGAATGCTCCACGGCATTGCTCTACAGCACAAAATAAAGCCATTTACTGCCTAATGACCCATTCCTTCCTGAATGATCCTCTTTAACTGAACTTGAAATTGTAAACACATAATCTGTAACTTCTCTGTGTGTATATAATATAGAAGGATACAATATAAACATATGCAAATTAAAATTATAGTCAAACTGTTCATAATGGGACACATCAAAGCACAACAAAGATCTGCATCTGTATAACAGAAGACTGAGAAATAAAGTGCCTAGGATTCCAGAAGCCCTTGAAATGTCACCATATTTCCTCTGAAGCTCCAAGGTATAGTTTTACTTTATCTTGAACAAATAAATAATAGCAAATACAAAACAATTATTTAAAACGTAATAGTTTTCCTCTCAAATTTCCATTACAGAAAAAAAAAAAAAAAGAGGAAATTGAAAACTAGGTACAACTTTATGCTCTGTAGCAATGTATTTAACTATTTTACTAGTGACAATGATAATGAGATGACCACTAGGTGATACCCCAATGGGAACACTTCCTTTTTGGGTGTTGCAGGTGTATGATGCATCTTGTTAAAACTTGCTGTAAGCTTAGCCATTTTTTTTTATTATTTTTTTTTTAATATTAAAATAAAGCAAGAATAAGGAATAGGTTGATGAGCTTAATAAAAACATCAGTTAGACAAAGATTCGAAACAGTCAACCACGACAACAAGGTTAAAAACAAAGACTAACTCTTTTTTTTCTCAACAAAATAGTTTTCTGTAAGCATTGCACTTTCTGCACCAGGAAATCTAGGTATTTCTGATTCTGAGATAAATCATTTCTAAGTTGCCAGAACCTGTTACTGCATATTCATATTTGACATCCACCAATATCATTTCATAATAAATCATTTTAGTGCGAGCATTCCAGATATTAATGTAGTTATAAAGCAACTTACGTAAATTATTTGGAGGAGGTCTTGTCTCCATGTTTTCATAATGTTGCACGTGTACTACAATGTTGAGATCTCTTTCCATATGATCTGTTGTACAAGGACCTTGTGGTCGCATCACATCAGCGAGAGCCCTGAAAAACAAACAAAATTTCAGAATAAGCCTGTTGCAAAATGTCTTTATTTGCAATACAGTCCAGGTGTGTTGTTTCTGTTTGGGATAGTCTACCATAGTGTCTACTGGAGAAACTGTTCCTATTCACAGAAAAATCAGGAACTCAAATTCATCATGAGACTTCACTAAGACTCAGTTCTTCAGCTGTCTTTGCTCTATGAGAACACAATTTACACTTTTTGAGACTTGCAGAGTTCATCCATTGCCTGTGCTCAGTGACAGGGCCTTTGCAGTCAAACTGAGCAGGTCTGTCAGAGTCAACTCTTAAACATGCAGCTGCACAGGGCACCACACAGTGCAGTGGCCTCCACCATTTTCAATGAAAAATGTTACCAAAGATGAAAGGTTTTGATTTTCTTGTAGCAATCCAGTAGGCACAGCACCATCCACAAGCAGGTTTTTAAGTTTTCTCCATTCAAAAGGCAGCTGAAAACATCTTTTCTCACTTCTATGAGAGTGACCTCATCATTACAGCAGAGCAAAGCTGGCACGGTAACATTGCTGGAAAAAGGATGAAAGCTTTACAGCAGCAGAGAGCAGGCAGAAGGAGTCCTCACAGGATGGCCAGGCCCAACCTGAAGCTGGTCGTGGGGGTTTTCTGCAGGCAGTAATTTTGTGTAACACAGAGGCTCATCCCATGTTTGTGTAGTTTCTATGACTGGTTCCCTGTCAAACAACCTGCCCAGTGTGAATCACGTAGGTAAGAACGCACACGTTTTAAGTTCTGAAAATCTCAGCGCGGCAATATCTCCCCCTCTGATTCTGGGCCATGGAGTTTCACCGTTGACTTCACTAGGAGCAGGATGAGCCCCTGGGTGCGCATCACAGCATCACCCGCTGAACCACTGTGCCCCAGAAATAACCGGCCCACCTGCAGAAACCATTCCTCTTGGCATCAGAAACGCTCACTGGGTCTTATCAGTGCCACGCAAGCCAGTACATCACTGATCATTATTTGCATCCTCCATTTATCTTACTGGTGTTAATTTTTAGATGCCTTCAGCTACTTTTTGAAGGGAATGAACGCATCTTCCAAGCACTGTGTCTACTTGAATTTTCTGCCAGATTATACAGTGTCCCAGACAGTGCATCAAGTTTATAAACAAATAAATAAATGTAAACATGCTCACTGGTGAACGTCACTACAAGTATCATCCAGCTCATGCGCTGTGCTACATTGCATGATGATTTCTTGATCAAGGAGCACCGTCCTTTTAAATATTAAATAGCTGTTTCACTTAAGATACAAAGAGGAATTCTGAGATAAATCTTGCTCAGATTGCAGGCACGCTGATGAATGGTACTGATGTTTCCATCTGTTTAGGGCTAGCATCATGTTATTAAATGCTACAGTTGTGATCAACATGTTACAGAATATTCTCTAAATGCTGTGAAAGGTCAGAAGGTAGTAACAAAATGATTAATGGTATCAGAGCAGTGCCTCCACTTGTAATGGTATCAGAGCAATGCTTCCATTTGAAGCAATGCTTATACAGCAGAAATTGCAGAACTGGCCTATGTAGCAGAAAAATAAAAATCACTAGGAGAGATCTCACAAAGGTATGTAGAAAAAGATGCTAAAATAAAGCACTATATTGCAAAAGACGGTTTAGAATAACAGGAACCAAAACTATCAATATCTAGTCAATTCTAGTCAATTGCCCCTCACTACAGGAAAGACATTGAGGTCCTGGAGCCTGTCCAAAGAAGGACAACGAAACTGGTGAGGGGTCTGGAGCACAAGTCTTATGAGGAGAGGCTGAGGGAGCTGGGATCGTTCAGCGTGGAGAAGAGGAGGCTCAGGGGAGACCTCACTGCACTCTGCAACCTCCTGAAGAGAGGTTGTGGCGAAGAGGGATTTGGCCTCTTCTCCCAGGCAATGAGCAGCACACGGGGCAATGGCTGCAAGTTGTATCAGAGGAGGTTTAGGTAGGCCATAAGGAAGAACTTCTTCTCTCAGAGAGTGGTCAGGCACTGCAATGGCTGCCCAGGGAGGTGGTGGAGTCGCCGTCCCTGGCAGTGTTCAAGAGGCGCCTGGACGACGTGCAGTGTGATGTGGGTTAGTGCTGGTGGTGGCAGTGGTGATGAGGAGACGGTTGGACTCGATGATCTTATAGATCCTTTCCAACCTTGTGATTCTATGATTCTATGGATTCATGCAATATTTATTTTTTTTCCAGAGGCAGATGGACACATTTCTGGGAAAGAAGCACCAAAGTTCCTTCATCACAGGACTTAAAATTGTGTGAACCTGTAATACATAGTGTAGCATTTCCCAGCCTTGCAAGAACAGGTTTTCTGAAATGTCTTCCTCATTGCCCTTAATATGATGTTGAACATTGTTAACTATAGACTTTAAATGGCAGCAGATTAACTACTGACTGACTGTGAAAATGCCAGCTGAGTTTTCTACCTCTTTAGTGTGGCTTTTTTTTCAGTCAGGTTTTAAGGAATTAGCTGTGCAAATACGTCAAGGAAAAAGGAACTTCTCGTCAAGTTCTATTTTTAATGATTTTGAATGACACAGCACCTATGTTTGTACTGTACTAGCCAAAGTTATACAGTCTTCCCAGGGCAAAATAGCTCATATAACAAAAGGCTTGTCCTTATCTTCCACTGATGTCAGGGAGAGTTAAAAATGTGTGGCAGCTCATGTTACTGAAGCACAAAAGCAATGCAGTTACCTGCATTTTTTTTCCTAGGGATTTGCCTATATAGAGTTTTGTGCATACAGAGTACACAGCAGCATTCTTGAATGAATGCTTGCTTCAAAAAATACTGCATAGGCCAACAGACTTTGTGCATTTCTCACCTGAATATCATCATACAAAAAGTGATACTTATGTGTGGAGGGACTTGATTCACACCACTGCTATACATAATAATTTTTTAAGGAAATGTAAAACATAGTGATATCTAAGTGCTACATATTGATACACTGACATTGACTGCAGTTTTACTGAAGTGGAAGAACATTACCTAAACATGGCCCAGAGCTATCCAACTGTCACAAAACTCTGTGATTTCTTCTGCAATAAGATTTCTCTTTGGGTATATAATACTATTTTCAGATGTTACAAAGCACGTGGAGCCAGGCATTTCCCTTATGGCTATAAGCCTGAAGAAGCTGAAACACAAGTTATTTCATGAAGGTCAGTTGTTAAATTTTGCCTCCAAAACTGGGTCTAAATCCATAAGGGAAATAATTTCACATGTAGGATTCAGCATTTTGGCAAGTCAGACTATTGTTGGCCCTAGGCATATGCCTTCCAAATAATCAACAGAAGACTTGACTTAGGAGCTTAGCACATTGAGAAGGATAAAAGAAGAGATCAGATGGTTCATAATGTTCGGAAAGCTGCTATCAGCTATACAATCAGCTATACTATCATACTATCATACTATCATACTATCAGCTATTGGCTATCAGAAGCACTGCTTGAAAAAAAAAAAAAACCAAAAAAAAAGACAACAGGAGCTAGGAGTAGGAGTGTAAATATTGTTCGTTCAGTTCCAGGTTTGTTTGCACATTCTCCATGAGGATTAGAGAAGAAGACAAAGGTGTAGTTTTGTTTACAGAAAGATCTCCTCCATGGAAAAGAAGTAAAGGTTTTGCTTATTCTACACATTTTCAAGAATTCATCATTTTACAGAGCCTGAAAGTCTCACTGATGCAAGTCTTAAGCAGCAAGCACGCGCTGCCCTCCTAAACAGCAGGGCTTCGAGGTCTGCTTCAGGAGGCAGATTGCTTCTCTTCTCCTTTTAGGCATGATACTGCCACACGCAATCCCTCTGCCACATCTGATAACATACACCATCTTATTCTTTTGAAAGGCATTTAGGTAAAGGAAGAGTTGCTCTACTTGGACACTACTATTGCTGCTTGGTTCCTGAACACAGTAGCTGAGGGAACATTTATCTCCTTGTAATATCAACTAACAAATTTAAAAGGGAAAATGATATAAACAGTGCATTATCATATGATGTCTAAAGGGAAATACATGATGCAGAGTTAATACCATACTTAATTCTCCACTTTCATCTTCTATATTCACAGTTCCATGCCAACAGTAGGAGTGTTTTATTTAAAAGCAAAGGAAAGAAATTGTCAATAGTTTCATATTTGGCATTTTTTCTTAAAAGAAAAGTAAGCAACTTCTTTGTGCTAAATAGCCTTGTCCACTAAGTTTTCTTGTGGGGTTTTTTGTCTGTTTGTTTTTGCTGTGGGTACAACTACATTTCCCCACTGTTCTTTCATTGTGAAATATTTCAGGAAAATTCATATGAAATGAATAGTGTTTGTGGTTTGTTTTGGTATAGAAGTAAACAAAATATAATGAAAGGCTATAGAAACTAAGCTCACCAACTCTGAGAAGTTTTCTCTGCTCTAACATACACAAGTGTCTTACTTCAGCAGCAGATCCACTGACCTCAAGATGAAATGATGCAAGGAATTACTAAGTATGGCACAGACCTGCTCCCTGTTTACAAGTCAACATTCTTATTCTCCCGTGCAGGTCTCTGTGTTTCTAAATAGTAAATAGAAAAATGGCATTACGTAATTTACACCAGTTGTATCCTGTTCCCTTAAAAAAAATCAGCTCTTATAAAAAAGTCAGCTTACATCATCCATCACCTTATCTGATAAGCACTACTAGCCTTTACTTAGGTGAATTTGTTCATAAGAATTGAGAGAATTCCACTATTTCCTGTACCTGTAGGTAAGGGAGGGAAAAGATACAATCTTAGCAAGGAAATAGATATCAAATCAGTTTCTGTATGCATGTTTTTTGTTGCCAGCCAAAATGGAATAGCACTTACACTTCTGAATGGGCCTACCTAACACTGTCAGTGCATTACATTTTTGCTTATTAATAAGATTTGGTACAGAAAAAAAGCATAAGGGGTGCTAGTTTTGATTTGGGTTTGTTCTGCATGTTTTTTTTAGTTGTAGAAATTAGTATTACAAAAGAAGGTGAATGCAAATACAGACTAGATATTATTTTAATTGCTGGTACTATTAACTATTTAAACTGATAAATTATTGCTTAAGTACTGCAACTTCTTTTTCAGAGTATTAGTAGTGTAAAATGAGGATGGAATGTTTTAGTTAAACACGCATGGGAGGATAAAAGAATACTTCAGTTCTTCACTCAATGAAAGATTTTTAGATTGCCCAAAGGATTTACAAATCAATTCCTTTTACAAGTAATGCTATACCAGACCCACCCCACACAACTGTAATAGGAGTGTGAGAACTTTTGGGGAGGGAAAAAAAAAAAAAAAGCTGTAGTACTGCTTCATCAGAAGATGACTAGCTATTATGTGCAGTGAGTGGGTGACTGTTTTTCCATGTGATCATGACTTTCCCAGTTGCTATAATCCTGATTTGAATGTTTTCACAGCGAGGAAGGTACAAGATCTCAGACAGTGTTAAGTAATTAGGATAACACATGACCTTTCCAAGAACCACTTCAGAAACCTAATCTTTATGCACACATGACAGGGATCTCAGAATATTTTCTTGTCCCTCGTAATACTGTTTCCCAGAATATCAGAAGATAGAATATCATTTCAGAATACTTAACACCTGTACTTTAGATAGCAAATACAAAGAGCTTCTTCAGCAAGTATTTCTGTTAGTAGAAGTTGGATCTGTTTAAGCCAGGTATAAGCAGGGATGGCTACACCATTGCTTTGTCCTGCTTTTTGTTACAAGCTTTGACTTATTGCCTGCACAAAGACATCACAGAAATAGACTGAAGCATATGACAGCTTTTCACAAACAAGCTTCAGCCCCTTAGTTTAAGGGTCAGAGTGAAAAAATAAAGTGGGATCCACGTTATTATTTATATTTATTTTGACTCAGTTTTGCAGTCAGAATATTCAAAATGTCTAAAGGATTAATATACCTTGCTCAAAGAAAACTGGCTTTGCAGAATTGCCACTGACACACAGTATTGAGTTGACTAAAATTTGTGATGTTTTGTTCTCAGTAGTATCCATATCAGCCAGTTCATAAATAGCAAATAACTTAGCGAACAGACAATTCCTTTGCAGGAGTTTTTGGTGGCTTTTTCCTGTACATTCCATGATAAGCTGCCGCGATACGGCTCCAGGTGTTGAGTTGATTTCTTGAGCTACATTTCAAAGACTTTTCATCTAAGCTTTAAAGATTGTGAACTACATCATCACCAGGGCAAGGGGAATCTTTCTGCCTCACTGCATGCCCAGTAGAAGGCATCCTTTTAATTGCACTGCATTTCTAAAGTTGCCCAAGACATTGGAGTTAATTTAGGCTCTTTAACAGAGAGATACCCTTTTTTTAATGCCTTCCCTCCCCCCCCTCCTCTGCTTTACTTTCATGTGCTTGGGATTAGCATAAAAAAAATCAGATAGACTGCAAACTTGGCACACGTGTTATGCCTTGATTTTGAACTGCTGTGACCATCCTGGTTTGGAATACGTTGTTTAAGACACTGGGCTCTGTCCTAAGCTGCCCACTTGCCTGTCCACCACTAGGCAGCCTGTATCTGGAGTAGACAGCACACAGCATGCCTAACTCTAGGTGGGGGAGATTCTCTTCGGTGTAACTCAGCCATTACACAGTGGATACAGAGTATAACACATTTATGGATGACAAGATCTTCATATTCTGTGTTAAAATTCTCAACGGTAACTGAAAAAACATTAAGCAATTCTACAATAGCATTTCCTTTTTGTCTCCCTCTTCCCTTCTACCCTGGCTCATTTTCACAGCTCAGATATTTTACAAATAGCTCACACGCTTTCAAAGGCTGGGGGAGTAGGGAAGGTCCTGCCAAAACCATTTTGCAGCTGGAAAGGGAGAGCGAGATGACATTTGTTTACATCTTCAGTTGAGAAGATAAAAACATTTTCCAGGCTTCAAAACAGTTGGAAGAGAGAACCTACCAGGCTTTCTATAATTCACTGTTTCTGGTTTCAGAATTTTTTCTTTTCCTATTCAACTACAGTGTACGTAGAAAGACTTGCTGGATATTACTGGGGAGTATGTCCAATGCTGCAGATAAAAACTGACTGCTCTGTGTGCACACTACCCTATTAATTTCTATTCTTCTTCAGTATGCATGCACTATGATAACCTCGGCTTGGGGAACCATAGAAGCCCTGCTCTCTGAAGTTGGTCTCAGTTACCTTGCAGGGGAATAAAGCCCGCCTGCCTGGGTAGACATATTGTTTAGGAACTCGTGGGCTTTTTTTTTTTTTTTTTTTTTTTTTTTTGGAGAGGAGCGATGGAGGAAGGGACCCCGCACGCAACACTCAACCTTACCTGGACATGTGCTCCCGCTGAGGTCTGTGTGCCTTTTCCAGCCCTAGTTTGGTGAAGATTCCCACCAGCACCATAACTGCCACAACCCCACAGATAATGTAGACGATGAGGTTGGTTTTATCCCTGGTGGGGTCGTGCAGAGGGTCATCTATGCGGGAAGGAGGCTTCCCAGTGTTCATCCACAGCGGCGTCTCGTAGTTCGTGCAGGTGCTTTGATCCAGCCTTGTCTTCTTAAACTTGCAGCAAAATCTGAAGCCACAAGTGCCGCAGCAGAAGATGAACTCCCCCGAGCTGCAGTTAAAGGGAGGGTCCCACTGCCCCATCACGTCGAAGTAGCCCCTGCAGAAGTCCGGGGTGGGAGGTGGCTCGGAGGGGTCCGGTTGTTCCCCAAGGCTGGAGCGGTTTCCTCCCGAGAGCACCACGAAACTCCCCAGCTGCTGGCCGGCTTTCTCCTGAGCCCGACAAACCAGCGTAAGCAAGTCCGCCACCAAGTAACCGAAGAGCAGCCGAACGAAACCTTCCATTCCGCCTCTCAGCCCCGGCTCAGCACCGCCGCCGCCGCTCGACTTGCTGGAAGCTGCGCCGCGCCGGGAGCTGGACATAAAGGGCTCGGTCAACGGCCGGGCGCGCCTCAGCCGCGTTCGCCTTCAGCGCTACGGACGGCCCCGCGCGGGCCGCAGCCTCGCGCCTCCCTGCGCCGGAGGAGCCGAGCGAGCGGCACTTGTGGAGCGGGGAGCGCGGAGAGGGAGCACGCGGGAGGAGAAGGAGGAGGAGTGCGGGGGGCGGAGGTGCGGCGGCGGCGCGGGGCAGCGCGGAAGAGCGGGCTGGGAGCGGGGCGTGGGGCGGGAGCGCCGGGGCGAGGGCGCCGCAGGGGAGGGAAGGACCGGAGCGGGGCCGCCTCGCGCCGCCTGGCGCCCGCCTTCCGCTCCCCCGCCGAGCCCGGCGCGGCCCGTCGCGCGACTCCCTCAGCCGGCGCCCGCAGAGCCCCTGCCCGGAGCCCGGCGAGCCGAGGGGCAGCATCCAGCCGGCGGGGGAAGGCTGCCCCGCGGCGGAGCGTGAGGGCGAGGCGGCCCCGCCGGCCCAGCCTAGGCACCGAGGCGCCGGCGGACGCCCGAACGCCGAGCGCGGCCCCTTTCCCCGGGCACCGCTCTGCAGAGCCGCCCGTTCCCGCGCAGCCCTCCCCCGCGGGGCTTTACTCGCGCCCAGCAGCCCCTCAAGGCGCCCGTCCCCCGCCGCGGATTCCTTACATAAGAGACTAACCGCTTAGGTGGGCGCTCCCCACAGGTGCGTCTTCGAAAGCGCGGCAGCGCCTCCTCTCCCCGTCCTGCGCGCCGCTCCGGGGTAACGGCCGGACGGGGCGGGGGGCGGCGCGGCGCGGCTGCGGTCTCGCGCCCCCCTGCAGCGCGCGGGCTCCAGGCCCAGGTGCGCGCCGGAGTGCGAGGAGCGCTCCGCTATGCGCGCGCTTGGCGGTGCGGCTGGAGCTTCGCTCACCTGCGAGGGGCGGGCGGGTCCCGGCAGGGCGCCGCGCACGGGGCCGCGTCTCCGCTAAAGCGCGGGCATGGGCGCGCGCTGCCCTCAGGTAGCGCGTTACCCGTGCTGCGCGGCTTGCGGCGGGGCTGTGCGTGTGGCTGCTAAACGTGAGCTGCCCCTGCACGTCAGTTATTTAGAAATCTCGTTACAATGCCGGTCGGGCTGGCTTCTGGGGACGCGGTAAGGTTGCCCGTGAGACGCTGAATTAAAATAACTTCCCCCAAACACGGCATTGACTCTGGGAAAGAGTTTTTAGCCATTCCTTGCCGCTTGACTCCGTCATCCCACCGTTTGCTTTGGCAGCGACCTGCACGAACAGCAGTGGTATTATCCTGAATGCTATGCTGCCACCAAATGTAGGAAACAAGCCGTTATGGCGGGATGTAGCCGTGTGGGCCGGGTTAGGAGCAGCTCCCCCGCTCCTCAGGGACACGTCTGGATGGCCTCAGCTGGGGAGAGGGGCTGCGTGGCCGCTGCTCCCCAGCAACTCGGACCAGGTTCGTGTGGGTTTGCGAAGCAGTAGTGAGCGGAGAGGTGAGGCAGAGGACAAAGCAGACGTTTGGAACTGGAGAGGGCTGTCGTTAGCTAATTGCGATCCTTTGCTTTCTCTTAAAAATAGACTCCAAGTACAATGTGATGATTCCACCAAACGGGTTGGCAGAAAGCCTTCCTGCAGGTCAGAAAGCCCCTTTATTCCTCAGCAGAGGAAAACAATTGGTCTCAGCCAAACCAGCCTTTTTGTTAATATTTAATTCTTAACACCTCCACCTCATCAACATCCCCTTTCAAGTCTCCTCTGAAATCATATCATTCCTCTCTTGTGTATACTTCACTCTGCTGTTATTTATTATTTAACACTTTGTGATGCAATTTGTGCTGAAGGTACAGCACGAAAGTGAATCATACTGTTGTATCTGTAGACTTTTAAAGGCCAGTCTTGTCAGGTACATAAGATTATACAAGCTCCCCTGTTTGCTGAAAAGCTGCTTAAATATTTTGCATGATTAGTGCCATGCACGTGCAGAAATAATAGCATCAAAAATGATTTATTCTGTAGGCCATTAATCCTGACTGGCTATGGTATGCATTCCTTGTTTGGTAAGTTCCTGGGGATTTCCTTGGGTGTTGTGCAACAGCAACAAAGTATTCAGGCTAGAATCTAACATGTGGTGGACACAGTTCCACCAGATCAGGATCTGACTCTAAATGCGTGTCCTAGGAAATGGAGGTCAGAACTAGGGAAGAAAAAAAAAAGTGTTTCCTGTGACAGCATAAGACCTATTGAACTCAGAACCCATGAATCCTATTACCCTAATAAATCATAAATTACTCTAATTATGCACGATGTTCCTGTTAGTAATATTAGTGAAGTTATTTTCACTACGTTATCTCTTAGAATTGTAAGGGTGAACTCGACTTATTCTTGACTATATTGTGAGGCCCCCCCCTTTTTTTTTTGCCTGCTGCAGTGTGTTATAATGCTTTCCTAGTGTGCAGATGTCAAATTATCTATGTGATCAAAATATATAACCATTGAGCGTAACAACGGAAATAACAGAACTAAAACTGAGAGGAACAGGCTTTTCGTACAGTACTGGGGCATGTATTGGGTCACTGCATGATTTTCTAAAGTTTTTTTTTTTTTCAATTAAAACTGTAAATAAACTTTGATTTCAGTTGTCTTTATGAAGCTGAGAAACACAAAAGATTTCACAATATAGCATCAGGACTGTCTGTTTTCTAGACATCCCTCTTGTCACTGCATTGAAGTAAGTAATAATTGCTTATTTTTTCTATAGCTTAATTCCACAACTAATGTATTTTGCCTCTGGAACAATTGAGAACATGAAGTTTCAACCCACAGAGCATGTCTTTACTCAAGCACATATCCACTTAGCTAAGTGAAGTACTTAACTGTAGGCACAGACCTTCTACAAAGCACATTAGTCCTCTTATACTTCTCTATTTTCAATGAGACTTTCACACATGAATCAATGGCAATATTGCTTGTTCCATTTTAATCTAGAAAACAGGTTTTTGGGGGGACGCATATAGCATTGTATAGCCATTTCTTAGTGGAAATTAAACAAACACATTACACCTTCATACTTTGCACAGATATGTGTGTATTATGTATGTTACGTTTTGTATGAAATATTAGAAGTGATTTTCGCAAGCTTTTATGTAAATAAGTGATTCTGAAAAAGTAAAATTAAGAAAGAGAACACATGTTAACCTGAACACTGAGGTGGAGATTAATCTGAAGAATACTGAACAATTAAAACACAGAGCAATTGCAATGATCATGCTTAAAATTCACTATTTCATTTTGTAAATAATAATACTAATCTTCATGCAACCTCTGAGTATTTCCTAGGGAAAGACTGCCTGCTGGAGAGAATGGTCCTCTGCCAAGCACTGCGCCACTGGAGTCTTCTAGTCAATCATTAATTCCAGAGAAATGTCATGAAGTTCAGTCATTATTAACAGGCTCTCCATAACTAAGAATATCTGTCAGAAAAGGCAGCTAGGCAGGCCTGATCTCAGACAGTATTGATATGAAGAGTACTTTGTGATAAGCAGTTCCATGTGGAAACTAGAATTAAGCAGTGTCTTAACCTGTCTGCTTCCTATGTATTCATTTTGTACTCCAATGGAATATTTGGATGTATAGACATGAAATGTACTATGGCTGGAAAACAAAACAGATGATAATTACATGAGGCCAAGTGGCAGCATACTTACAATTACTAGTTTTTAACAGTATACTTAAATGTTAGAATATGTCTGTTGTCGAGTAACATGAGACATACAAATTAGCCAACACGAGTTGAAGAAGCAACAAAACGTATTTAACAAGGAGGCTGCTTGAATTCATAGCAACTTAGAACATCTTACAAACATTACACATCATACTGAGTACTTCTTTAGTTACTGTCATCAAAATACAGCTTGCGCATAGCAAAGGGATCACCAGCAAGAGAATTTACTAAGCCACGAGGTGCCTCATGAATGAAAAATCACGATTTGTTTTCATGACTCATTGAGGAGTAAAAACAGTTTATCGCAATTCTACAATGTAGTGATTACCTTTATCACCAAATATTTTTCTCGACCATCTTATTGTAAAACCAAAACCAAAGTAATTGTATGTGTTGAGGTGGGGAAGGGGACATTAACAGTATTTATGTTTGGAAGGAATTTAATGAAATTCTGACAGCTCTTGTAGCTTCAGTTTAACTCATAGGAAGTAGTTTAAACCAGAAAACAAACAAAGAAAAAAGATAAATAAAGAAGGCAAATGGAATACTTTTAAATGTAGAAGAGACAACGCGTATACTGTAAGGGTCTTCAGTATACACCAGGGAAAAGTGCCAAAATGCCACTGGGGGCTGAAAAATGCATTGTGCCCTCAGCTTTGCCTGTTGCACAGCTATCCCTCTAATTTTGACCAGGGAAAGCTGCCAATCATTTTCTCTCTTTGGCAAGATTGATGTTGTTTTTGAATTGTAACAGTATTGCGAGTACTAGTGAACTAAGTGTGTTTCTACTTGATTTAAATTAGATTGCCACAGAATTTACATCTGGAAGGACTGACTGTCTAAGAATTACTGCAGCTGGCAAAGAAAGCTCTGCAGATCATTCCAGACTCTAAACAGCAAAATCTTTATATCTTGTTTCCAAAAAAAGAAAAAAGGGCTACGGAGGATCAAAACCGTGGACCTGCTTTTGTAGCCTTCCAACTGAAAACCAAGCTACCTTTGTTCCCTTGAGTTCAACTTTTCAAGGCAGAAAGAAAGCCTTTCTAAACAGAACTAAAATAGCAATAAAAATTTTCAAGGTTAAAGGCAGTATAATAGGCTGTATACTGTGCCTTAGTATATAGAAGCTGTGCTTAGGCAAAAAAAGAGGACAGAGCAGAGAAAAAATTTTAATCCTCTACTGTCAGGCTCTGGCATACATTAGAACAGCTAAGAGGCTACATAGCAGTGTCTAGAAGGTAGACTAAAATGTTCTTTCCCCAGGCCTGGAACTTCTACGGCTGGAAGCCAGTATATGAAGTCCAATTAGTGAATCAGTGATAGTCTGTCCATTCTAGCACTACTGACTCTCAGGGGCTAAAAGTGAGCTGTGAAGCTCAGAGGTGAGTAACTTTCTCTTCACAGAAATGTAAAGTTTCTGTATTACATAATTTATAAGGAATTTAGTCACCTTGTATTTTATGTGTCTTCCAAAGTGTATTAGGGCAGGAAATGAAAATCAGAAGTTCTTACTGAACAATAGACCTTTTCAGTGTGTTTTCCTAATAATAGGCCTTAGTT